TGTGTGTGTGTGTGTGTGTGTGTGTGTGTGTGTGTGTGTGTGTGTGTGTGTGTGTGTGTGTAGTGTGTGTGTGTGTGTGTGTGTGTGTGTGTGTGTGTGTGTAGTGTGTAGTGTGTAGTGTGTGTGTGTAGTGTGTGTGTGTGTGTGTGTGTGTGTGTGTGTGTGTGTGTGTGTGTGTGTGTGTGTGTGTGTGTGTGTGTGTGTGTGTGTGTGTGTGTGTGTGTGTGTGTGTGTGTGTGTAAGTGTAAGTGTAAGTGTAAGTGTAAGTGTAAGTGTAAGTGTAAGTGTAAGTGTAAGTGTAAGTGTAAGTGTAAGTGTAAGTGCAAGTGTAAGTGTAAGTGTAAGTGTAAGTGTAAGTGTAAGTGTAAGTGCAAGTGTAAGTGTAAGTGTGTGGGGGATTACAACGCGGACGGTAGCTGAACTGTTTCTGTAGAAGCTGGGGAGGGCCTAGCAAGCATGAAATGATGTTAGCTATATTTCATTAAATGAAGCCACTTTCTGAGACGAATATCATAAATGTTATTTTTATGTGCACGTGCGTGCGCATGTTAATAACAGCATATGGTGAGACCCATTTTTCCGTACGTGCGTGTTTGTATGTGTACGTGAATTCGAGCGCACGTGCGCGCGTAAGTAAAAAAAACATGGGTGATTACGCTACCTGAGTGCGTGCGAATTACATTTGCGTGTTTTCTATATATCTGTACTAGAAGTCTGTACTTTCAGTACTTCAGCCATACTTCCAACACAACCAATTTATCACTATAGTGTTCAACAATATGGCATCTTCACATCTCAACGACATCAGCCCAATTATATCAAAGTATCGTTTTCTTGTTAGTATTTAACTTGTGGTAAGTAATTATTTCAAACAGTCCACCTGGCCTTTGTCGTATTTCTCCGACCACTACAGCACTTACTGGTATTGCTTGCATAACAGCAAGCCTCTAAAGTGAGGCTAACATGTCTTAGAACACTAGTACACAATTTTTTTCACAAAAATATACAAAGCACATGGAATCTGTTTGTTTACTTCGTGCTGACGCGGTTACAAGATGATGCCACATATTTCTCGCGAGACCCTGTCCCTGTACGTTTACATGTTAACTTGAATAAAGCAATCAAATTATTATTGTTTTTGTCAATACTTTGCAAGCGTTTGAATCCGAATCGATTTCATTTCAACACGTTTCAAGTGTGAAAATCCTGGTCAGTTTGCTTTAAACACGTTTCAAACGTAAAAATGCTGATGATTGCATTTAAACACTGGATACAAGTATCGGATTTCCTAGTCGACGCCCGCCACGATTTATGCCCAAACGCTCTTGTAGATCTGGATACACCTCAAGCACGAGCTTGTTTACTATAGATGTGTGAACTTTTTTGAGTGACTGCGTGTCAGATGGGCCTATGGAAGTTGTGCTACAGTAATGTTGTGTATATATACCTACTGCCCGGTGTCATCCATATTTTTTTCTTGATCACCTACGACCATGCTCTAAATGATTAAAAATTTTCATCGGATCTCTATAGTTCACAGGAAAATAAAGTTAATCTGAGTTAGATCCATAATAAACCATGCTCGCTAACCTTGCTCTATTTTACGTTTATGTTTACACACTCGCGAACGTGCTGACCATAGAGAGCCTTCCACAACGCATGCTGATGATGTACAGTGATATGATCAATATAGAGTGTCGTTTCCCTCGCATTTACTGTGTTTTCGCATATACTGCCGTAGGAAACCGTAAAGCGCGACGTCGCTGTAAAATTCAGTCGTATTGAACAGATTCAATTGTGAAATAGAGATTATATACAGTAGAGGCGGCAATGGCGCCGCAGCAGTCGTCTGACTTCACGATTCGACGGCGCGTTTTCCATTCCTTTCAGGGAAACCTGATCGACACGTCAGAATGTAGTCGACTCCATGCCTTTGCAACGAATATATTTTTTTTTTATGTACGAATACAACAAGTTAGTGGGCCATGAGTTTGTTTATTGAGACATTCTGTCATATTGAATCACTATAAAACTAGGAATATTATCATTGAACATAATTACCATGTCTTTAATTGGGGGAATGGTGAGTGTAGGTTTATTATGGAGTAGCCTAGTCGTTGATCGCTCGGTTCCATGTAATGATGAATTATTCTTTGCTGAAGTCCATGATTCTTTGCAATGATGAAGTCCATTTGTAATATACATTTTCCTCTACTCTTCACTCAATGCGGAGTACATCTACTTAATTTTACCTTTATCATAAAGCGGGCAAATTAGAACTAATAAAATCCTGTTATATATATATATATATATTATTATTATTATTATTATTATATAAGTTATACACATTGGGGTTTCGTCGTTCTGGTGCCCGTTGCCAGAAACAAAATTAGTCTTAACATTAGTCTATTCAATAACAACCGGGCCCCGGTTGTTCAACACTCTGCATGAGCGACCCAACTTTGAATAACTATGCTTTCTCCTTAGTGCCCTCAAAGATTTATATTATTCAGTGACGTGTTTGCGCACAGAAATTTCAGAAAACGGATTTCGTGAGTCTCTCTGAAGTAGCTTGCTTCATTGTGTGGCTGCTTTCATTCGAATTCCTTTGTGCTCTCTTTGGCGAGTGATTTTAGTAGGCCAACGTTTCGCGTAAATTAATGCAAAACTGTCTGTCGCAAACAATAACCCCAATAAGTTACGTGTTTATAATAACACCAGCTTGTTTATCTATATACGGTATAGTCTGAACCTAATTCGAATACAAATTACGATTAGCCGTCACCGTGCAGTGACCACGCCAAAGACAGCATTAGTACCATGGTGATGGTTACCGCTTTTATTACGTATCGATGTCTCTATTCTAATTATATAAGTCCCCGCATTTGATTTCAATCTTCTCTTAGTTCAAACCAAAAAGACAATTGTCGCTTCTGTGCGTGAAATTACGTGATACGGCTCGAACAAATACATCGCTTTAGTATTGCATTTCCCCAGCTAGTGTTTCTACCAGTTGGTGTTCATGTGTTTTGCAGAATGAAATAAATACGCATTCCAGCAAACTGACATTGCACTCGATTGCCACAAACAGCCTTGTTATTGAACTATGCTTTAACTCATTCTGTCATAGCTTTTTTCAGGTCCCTTGAATTACGTTCTTCTGACCTTTCAGCGTCCGCGGTTGAGATAACGGCGCCAAAGGTTGTGGAGCAGGGCGAGAACATTCGACTAGAATGCAATGTGACCGCAAAACCTCGGCCACCAGTGAAGGTGCTTTGGTTCCACAACAACTCTATCATCATTATCAATCATGATGAGAAATCTCTAAGGACAAAAGTGATGTATAAACGAACTAGTTATTCGACTGTCAGCATACTGACAGTACAGAACGCACAGCGAACAGATTCTGGAACCTATATGTGCAAGCCAGACTCTGCTACAGGGACTAGTGCGGAAGTGCTCGTGGTCAATGGTAGGTAGCGAAGTAATCGTGTAATCGTTGTTGTTTCGTTGTTAATTGGTGGAATCGTTGTAAAAGATTTATGGAGTGATGACATCTCATAGTCGCTCCGGGTACAATCGAGAGTACATGAAGGAGAGATGATCTCTCATGGGTACGCCTGATACAATACTATGTAAATATTGTTTTAAATTTTGAATAACTGTGTTACATGGCTCGAATAGGTGTTGGTGCTAATGCTTGTACGGCTGTTGACCATGTCGCTGCTGCAAGTTCTCTCGGCCATAATGTCGAGGGCGCTGTGACAGAAAAGTCCGTACGCGGTCTTCGAACACTAGCAATGTATAGGCCTTATATATACTGTCTGCGACAGTAATCGCGAGATTTCTAAGTAATTATTTTGATTAAATTAAAGGCATCGTATGGCTATAGCTGATAAATAATTCAAAAACATCCCTAGGACTTTTTTACTGAATGCGTTTAAGTATCGCAGCAAGGCCCAATGACTACGTTGTTAATCAATCTCTTATGCAATGCATTTCAACTTTATTTTGACGATTATCTTTTAAAAAGAACTGGTATTCTATACATTGGCATATCAAACGTGTTGTACGATGCCATTTACAATTATTACGGCAGACATTTGCATATAATATTGAATGGTTTGTTATAATTTGTGGAGTTTAGAAGTGGAGTGTCTATCTTGAGTATTCTAAAAAACATAATTGATCAATCATTTATGATACAGATTAAACCTAACATAATTGAAATTGGTAGGCAGATCACGATTTTTATGCGGATCATGACGTAATTTAAATGCGATTTCAGCCATTTCTCGATTCTTGCACATGACGTACATTAAATCGCGTGTTGCATGATTAGTGGAATTAAAGTCCCTTGTCGTATATGTCTTACAGGGAAGAGACCGGAGGCGATCAAAGGCGACACAACATCATCATCATTATCGTCGTCGTCTATCAACTGTAAAGGCAATACGAGAGCATTGATCGTGCTGCTCGCGGGATTTTTGTTGGTCTCCTATACATCTCCTCTATTTGCAGCATATTGATAACTGTGCGGTATTACTACAAAAAATAAAGGACGTATTGGCCGAGCAAGGAATACTGCCACAGGCGTAGGATGGAATCGCACAAGAATGGCAACAACATCTACACAATAACTGCAACAACAACAACAACAACAACATTATCATCAGCAACAACAACAGCAGCAGCTGCTGCTGCTGCAGCAATAGCAAAAGAAATAATCACAAATAATAATAATAATAATAATAATAATAATAATAATAATAATAACAACAATAACAATCAAGCTGTGTGTAAATAAATGTGAATATTTTTCATGACTGTATTATTACGTGATGGCGCCCGCATCCGACTGTGCAATAATATTAGACGGAAAGCTACATACATAGGCAACCATAGGTCGACTGAATGTAATGCTCCCTGTGTCTGTTTCTATTGAGTGGTGTAGAAATTGAGATTTGCGTTTTGATGACACACATGCAGTCGCAGATATTAAGAGCGTTAGACTTGTGGTCGTGTAAGATCGCGCCCAAATGCTACTAGAAAATGCAACGACGTGGTGAATGTGCCAAAACCGAACGCAACGGGGTTTCAGTCGTGTTTAAAGACTTTGACAAGAAACTGTTATGATGGCACTAAGTTTCATTCACTCGAACTGAACATATGCCCAACAACTGTATTCATTGACGGTTTAAAATGCAAACAAACCGTCTGGTCTTGCGTTCGTACTCAACTTGCGCTGGACACACGAACGAACTATATATTTACACATACTTGGAAACACTTGCTCACAGGCGCGCACACACACATGAACACGCGCGCGCACGCATACATACACAAACAAACAACCGCATGCACGCGCGCTCACACACGCCCACGCACACTCGCACGCAAGCACACACGCGTGCTCGTACAGAGACGCACACACAAGCACTGATTCTAATAGGTAGCATGAGCTTCTATGCAAACAAGCATTTCGTATTCAGCACGCGATCCTTCGTCGGAAGTTTTGTTTTATGTGCTACTCGTATTGGCAGTTAATACTATCTATACTATTATGAGTTTACATTGAGAATTGAGCGCGTGCAACCGAATCCAAATTTGCCGTCTAAAGGAGCCGCTACTTCTCACATTGCATGAAATGTCATGTCCGCGCATGAAAATCTTTTTGTTAGTTATTGCCACTGATCTGCTACGGACGTACGTGTCACCTCTAACTCGTAGTGACAGTGGAAAGTAACGTATCTGTGGTGGATAATCGCTGTCGCGTCCACCTTCCACTAGTCCCGACCCTAGTCCTCGTGCAACGAATACATATAAGATACATAGTGACAAAAGAAATACTTTGTCAATTTTCCTGTGACAGCTATCGCTTGATATCGCTGACAACGTGTAAACGATGTTACGGGGAATGAGGGGGGGGGGGGTGGCTGTAACGGATAGGTTTAGCCAAATAAATTTAATGGAAGAAAGTTGTTTGCATTTTAGATTAGCAAATTTGCTAGTCGCAGAATGAATTTGTAAAAAAGTGTGGAAAGTGTTTCAAGGGTAGTAATTGAGACATCTTGTGAATCGGTAGTAGAAGACTGTATTGACGCTCCTCTGCATGACCGTGTGCAATAGTGTGACCGTGTTCGTTTAGTATGAGTATAAATGTACATTGTAATATATAACGACAAAGCTGTACATTGTAATATGTAATATGGGGTTTTACTGCAGTTAGGTGCACCAGTGAGCATTGTTTATAGAATAACCAACCACCAACGCGCTGTAAGATATGAGATGACTACTGCAGTTTGAATGATGTACGCGCAAATTATAATAAAAGAGTCACGATTCAATATACAGTAACCGAATCACACTTAGATCGAGAAAATAATGTGCACAGCAAGCTACCATTGCTCCCATTATTGGGAAAGAGAATAAATGACGTAGAATTGTTGTTAGCAATGTTGTCATGAACGTAGGTTAATATCGATTGTAGGAATTTGTACTGTGCACCGTTGATTGCCTGTCAAATCTATACAAACGTGGGCACAATTTGCTCGCAGATGCTGAGCTAACCGGGTAAATTGTTTAGAATTAGAAACAACATAAACGTTGTTTCCCTTTTGCTCATATATGTTTTTAGCCGAGAATACTATCACTTGCTTAAGAGGCCGGTTCGCGATTTTTGAATGAAAATGTAACAATCGGTAGTTTCCACCCAATAACATTTATGCTTCATTCTAACTATGCATAGGGGGACTGTTATTGATACGAACACCTACCAGCAACGCGTAGATCCCGTAAGTCTTAATTCCACGTCTCAGTCCTATCGCAACATTTTTATAGACGGAAACCTGCGAGGCACATCGTTGAATTGATGGCGACGGGCTGTTGTTAACTGGATGTTTTGTATGTATATTAAACTCTGTGTTCGTTCAAAGATGACAGAAAACAATACCTTTTCGATTGCTCGATTTTTTCCGTTAATTTTATACTGATAAGCACCCGGTATCCACTGTCAATAACCTCAAATCTCGTTTATGGTAGTGACGGATTTGATAGACAGGTCATACATATAGGCGCACGCACGCACGCGCACGCATTTATACAGTTAAGCTAAAATAGCAAGTCATCTTGAAACATTTGTTGTAATGGCGCAGTGATAACTAGGCTGCCCTCTCACTATCGCTTTCGTTTTCAGCCGTTACTGTTGGTAGTTTGGATCTGCGAGGGATCTAGTATGGGGCAACCTAATTAATGACATCAATATGATTGCACAATCATATTGATGTCATTAATTAGGTTGCCCCATACTAGTCTGTGCAGTGCAGCTCTCCGCCGACCAACTTGACGACTGTGTAGCGGACTAGTTTGATGTAGAATCACAACTGCAGTGATAGTCACGGGTGAGGTAGGCCTAGTGAACAGAACAGTACGCCAGAATTGTTCGTGAACACACTCTTTTTTCGTGTTAAATAACGGTAAGATTATTGAGGGGTGCTACCAGAGCAATTCGTGATCAATGAAGATGTTAGACAGTCCACTATTTCTAACATAGTTTTCAGTCCTTGTGAAACGATGTTTTTCATTTTGACTGTTTTATATCTCACGACTTGTCCATTCCTTAAATGTATTTTATCAGATAGAGATAATGTGACAGTGCTTACAAGATCGCAAAGGCTCAGCGGTATTAACGATGTTTCTGTTGGATGATTTCTCTCTCTGTCTCTCTCTCTCTCTCACCCTTTTTCTCTCGCCTTCTCCCTATGTGTATATCGCTCTAGAGCTCTGTCCCACGCTCGCGCGCAGATTCTCTATCTATCTATCTATCTAACTATCGATTTATTTATCTATCTATCTACCTACCTACCTACTTACCTATCTATATATGTATGTGTGTGTGTGTGCGTGCGTGCGTGTGTGTCTGTCTGTTTTGTCTATCTATTCTATCTATTCATCCATCCATCCATTTATCTATCTATATATCTCCCGATTCTTTCTCTCGCTCTCTTTATCGTCTCTCTCTCTCTCTCTCTCTCTCTCTCTCTCTCTCTCTCTCTCTCTAAACCGTCTTCAAATTAGAACCGAAATACAGTTTTACAAGTAGAAACGAAAACGGTTACAATGGCAATCACGTAGACGACTGAAATATAATATAAAATCTGCTATTCGAATCCTACTGTACTGCACATATCCTACAACGTGCTATTGATATATTGATATTGTCGAATAGGAACCATCCTTGCTCCGATATGCTATCGTTGTTGTTACCCTGAAATAATGTTTTGACCGTGACTAGATTTGACGAACGGATTTCGGAAGAAGTTTTTAACGTAGAGCAGCTACGTGCTTGTGAAACCTGAAACTTAGCAATCAACTGATTGTCTGCTGCATATACTTTATTTACTATATTTATACTTTTATACTTTATCAAGGCTCATTGAGAAGCAACGCACAGTGTAACTATCATTACAAATTCCGCCTCTTCTCGCTTCCGTCTACACAGCCACATACCTTTATCTATGTAAACCAGACACCGACCCACATCCGAGCTTCTATCTACCTTTATTGCAGTCACTGCTATTGAAGCCCCGCGCGGCCGCAATTCTGCGCCTGAATCATATCTCTCGGGCGCCGGGAGGATTATCGTGCCGTCCCCGGTTGTTCTACATACGGCACAACAGCTCGCGACTGGTTAGTGGGGTTTATCCGCTCCTCGGCTGTGTTGCTGTGTTATTAGAAGAACGCTGCCGTCTTATTATCGATGCGTCCATCGTCGGTCGGATTTTGTGTAAAGCTCGGAAGCAATAGCCGTCCGCATCGGAAAGGATCGGGTGCGGACTGCCAGTATTCGGTCGTCTCATTTCGTTGCGAGCGCATACTCGGGAAGGCTATCGTTGTTTCGTCATGGAGGTCGTGCTCTCTTATAACGCTCGACGCCAGGTTAGATACGATATTTGTAAGACAGGTGCCTTCGTTCCGGATCGGTTAGAAGACGACTCCCACGTTTCGAGCACAAGCGTGTTGCTAATTGGGGTAGAAGAGGATGACACGAAGACTGCGAATGCGGGCACACGGTAGCATGTGTACGCGAAGTGTATAAAATAGCGACATTGTCGCAAAATAACTATTTTTACCATATATTTTAAATACACAATGGAAAGGCGTCATGCCATCACGACAGCGGATAAGAATGGCGCCGGCGTTCGCGCACGCTACGCTTGTTGACAAGAACAGGATGATCGACGGCTTCTTACGTTAATACAGCAGTAGTTGTGATTCGCCATCCGCGTTTAGTTACATTTCGTAGAATGCAGATTTCTTTCACGGATAATTGAGCGCAGGTGACGCGACACGGCTCACTCTATGATTAGCGTCAGAATTTTAATGCATGAGACCAAATTTTAATTTTTGCTCGCGTTAGCATTGTATAGGCCTAAGTGATTGTACTGTACCGCTAGTCTCGGTTCATTTCAACGATATCGTGATGTTTTTCGCTTTTCGCTTTTCGCGAGGGATTTCGCTTAAACTTCACACCGGGTTAAAGTGATTACGTCACCGTAAATAGTAAAAAATAAAATAATATTTCCACTTTTTCACAAAATATAAGTAATTCTGTTCACTTTTTATGGTTAAATTGCTGCATAACTTCTTATTTTACTATATTGTTCGATGTGAACATACACTCGTGACGCATACATAGCCCATAGCAAGCAATTAATGTCAGGAACACTAATATCAAATCGTCCAGGTTTTTTGGATTTTTAACTAGTTGAGAAACAATCTTATCAGGTAAGAATTGGACGATACGTGTAGTACCGTTAGTTCTTACTTTTAATGTAAAAAAATGGCAATTTTTTTTATACAAATTTTACCATAGAAAATTCGTGACGTAGTCATTTTAAGCGTGAATCGAAAACGAGTCTGGTATATTTTCCAAGCATTTATGTAAGCTAAGCTCGTGCCCGTGACGTTGAAGCGTGATGTAATATGCAAGAAATAATAACATTATTTATGATTTCCAACTCGCTGAGCAGCAAAAATGCTACGTAGATTCACTATGCATTTTGAGAACTCATAGGCGAAATAATGCGGCCGCGGCAGCACTTTTGCATCAAGACTGATCTGCTTCTGAGAAATAAAAGGGTCCATATAACGTCTAGTTACACCACACCTTCCGTTCTTTTTGCTGCAGTCTAGTAATTTATTAAGCCAAGTAATTTCCCAGTTGATATAGGGGCGCAATTAAAACGGTCCCCGAACTACGAATCTTCTTTGGCGAATCTCTTCGACTTCTACGTTGGTAATTAAATAAAATAAAAAAGCGGCTTTCGTAGTAGACAAGGTCGATATCGTCGTTAACCGTACGATGCGGATATTTAATTAAAAACGAGGTCATGCTTCTAATAAATACGAAATGTTAATAGCACTTAATGTTGTCTGTGAATATAAACGAATAGATAGTCGCGTTGGTAACAATTCGGTGTACAACTCACTATCGAGCTCGTGGTTTACTTGACGTTCTGCCTTGCCATTTGAACATCTATATGCTTGCAGATACTACATATAATTGCAGAATACCGCACACACTGTGGGAATTCTGTCCATATACCGCAAACTCGTGTTTTTCTGCTTATATTCGTGCGCATGCAGCTAGTCAATACTTGCACGCGTCATCGCGCGCGGCACACGCCATCCCCGACACGTCTGTTTGAAGTTGCACGTACAGCGCTGTATGCCATTCTCTGCACGAACGAATATAAGTCATTGTTATGTACAAACGCAGGTTATTGTTCATCCTCGAATTATTTCGTTTTAAAGCTTCAGACTCCGAATAAATAAATGTATGGATAGATGGATAGATAATATATTCTTCGTGCGCACGGAAACCACTTCGTTTGTTGACTCCGCTCCGTGTTCAGTTGCGTAGAGATCGGCTGCAAAAGCTAGCGAAATAGATGTTTCCAACCTATGCCGTATTTAATTTCCGTGCATTTTAAAGACATTATTTTGTACGCTTATTTTTGCGTCGACATGCGATATTTAGGTTCGATGGAATAGGAGAGTGGGAAACGGTTGCATTATAGGCGAGTGATATAGGGTGTACTTTATTCGCATGTACAATAATCGTACTCCTATGCTAGCAGCCATTTTTCATCATATGTACACTTCAAAATACATACTCCAAATGCTTGTTCGCTCGTGAACCCTTGATGTAATTTCACAATTCCTTTACCTGGAGTACGTCAGGTAATCACACAAGAAATTGTAGATTACCACCCAGCATATAGATCTACCGTATACTGTCGATTGCGTGTGCATAATCGTGATGCGCACAATTAAAGATAATCAATTTAGTAGCTTGCACAAACTGTCAACAACAAACATTCAAGAACGAACGTACCTGAAGACGTACTTTCACTCAGCACATCAAGCTGAAAACATTTTTTAGTAAAATATAGCAACAGACAGATGTAGATGTATTGTTGTGTGGGGAGGGGGGCATAATAGGTTGCTCAAAATTAAAGTCTGCATAAGAACTAGGAGAAACCCAGGGGTCCGTTCTCGGGAACAAAATTAGTCTTAACATTAGCCATTGAGTTCATGGCGTTTCTGACAACAGGCCCTTGTTCTGCACTAAACGACCACGTTAAACCTACTGGTACTTCCATGACCACCATACTGCTAAACGACCATGTATTTATAGAATAAAGGAAGATTCTTGGACTGAATGGCTGAATAACGTCTGAAGTGATACAAGATATCTGACTACAGCAATCTGTTGATTTCCAAGCAATTCCAGGGTGATTATTTGACTCATTAGCTCGTTACCTTTTCAGGCCGATTAAAAAATTTCATAATAGGAATTCCACAGTTAACTACTGGTACATATTAATAACGCTGGCCTGAGATTACTAGATCCACGCAATAATGTAATGACACCGAGTTAGATCATATGCTATGACAGGTCATTTAACATTTTACCAAGCAAGTTCCTATCCAGAACGTTTTCTAGTTTTACGAGTTTAGTTTCTTACGAGAGTAGTGGCTCTAAGCAGAATAGATTATATGACTACAAATAAGTTCAGTCTAAAAAGTACAAAAATCCTAGAGATATAACACCAGTTACATTTACTGACATTTAAGCATTCTCACATAATGGTTAAATGACATGAGCTTCTACACCCATAGAATAACCTTATCGAAAAAATCCAACAGTGCCACCTGTAAACTAATAAAAGAAAATGCCATTTTCTACGGTTATGCTTTATTGAAGAGAAAACCTTAACGACAGCAATAAGTCAGCACTTTCAAATATTTTAGATATGAGACGACACACGAAGCTTTAGCTAGACTTTTTAGTTTGTGATGACAAAAAAATGAATAGTTTAGAAATTCTATAAAACCGGGTTTCGTGTGCTTCAACATTGTAATGCAATGTAGAGATCACAGTCTTCAGTACCAAGAACTTTATACAGGGAACTGTTTATCAAAATCGGCTGGTACTTCAACATTTGCTTCTTTTGCTAAGTATAGCATCTCATCTGAAAAAAAGTGCAAATTCATGTGCTGTTATATTTTATATTAATATATACATAATATATATATATATATAAATAAATATATATATCAGGAGTTAATAATGACTCGTATTTGGTACTGATTTCACTACATTTTTGTCATACGAGTTCGATGTGAATAAAATGTATACAAACATGAGCTTCTTTTGTTCACTGGTCCTTATTCTATCTTCCGGTAGTATTACAAACCGCGTAGCTTCCTTCATTTTGACATAAATCATACTTTTGCACGACATGGTTTTCACGTTATTTACCGTCGTGTGGCGTAATCCAATCACACCATTTGGCGTAGGCCCAATCACACCAGAGCTACGCTCATCACGATCGCCCCGTCCTCAAAAAATGTGCCCGAGCGTGGTGAGCGTGGTTGAGAGCGTGGCCAATTGGGCCCCAGCCGGGCCCAGCGCCGATACTACGATCTAATTACGTCCATACTACGATCTAAGTGCGTCTTTAGTCTCTTTACCCCGATCTCATTGCGGTCAACAAGCTTTCACCACGCTCAACACCACGCCCGCATCACGCTTGCACTGCACGGACTGCGTCTTTATTGCGACCAATCAGATCGTGTTGCGTTCGAACGATGCTTGCACTGCGCCTTAGCAACGCTCACCGTGCCTCTACTGCGCGCCAATCACGCGCCGACTGCGCTGGCAACGATCATATAAATACCGCGCCGCGTTCTGTACGTCATCATTCATTCTGCCGTGCTGTCAAGATTAACATTAAGATAATTAAGATCAAAATTATCAACTTAAATTAAGATTAACATCAAGATTATTTTCTACGGACACAACTATGCCGCCAAAAGACAAGGGGAGAGCCAGCAAGATCTTTGTTGTCTTCTATTTCTCCTCCTCGTCCTCCTCAGCATGATGAGGGCTTGGCATCAAGTAGTTCGAGTTGTCCTTCTACGAGAAACATGGCATGGAGTAGTGTTGCCTCATCCATAGTGGACAATGAACTGGTGGGTGGCCAGGGTAGCACCCCAAATTATACCCAAGTTTGCAGGACATGATCTGAGCGTAACTAACACGTAATGCGAACGCCACAACGGTGTAGTCTGCGCGTGTTGGGCGTAGTACAATCGTAGTACGAACGGGTCGAGCTTGCTGAGCCGCACCATGGTCATAGCGAGAGCGTGTCGGTCGCAGAGACATCTCCATGGACGTAGTAACAGCGTGATGAAAACGTATTGACATCGTGCTGAGAACGGGGCGACAATTTCAGGCACCCGACACGCTTGCGATACGACATTAAGTTCGTACTACGCTCGAGTTACGTGGGTACTACGCCTTCCACGTCTCTAATACGCCCGCACCTGCGCTGTATTTCGCCACGCTCGCACCACGATTATTTGAACATGTTCAAAGTTTGGCCACGCTCTCCACGCTCATGCTGACTGCACCTGCGCTCGATCACGATCGCAGTACGTCCATATACGTCCACACTGAGTTCTACACGTTTCCACCACGCTCTTAGAGCGTAGTACGAGCGTAGTGAGATCGGGCCCTGGTGTCGGGTATAACGTACCAAGCAGTAAATTCGCATACACAGCAACTGGAAGGAGGCGCGGCAGGGAATTTAGGCCGTATAGTCTAGCCGAGTGCAGAAAATGCGCTGGTCTAGGGCCCAGTCACACCAGAGCTACGCTCATGACGATCGTCCCGTCCTAAAAAAATTGCCCGAGCGTGGTGGCGTGGTTGAGAGCGTGGCCAATTGGGCCCCAGCGGGCCCGCGCCGATACTACGATCTAACTACGTCTATTACTACGACCTAAGTGCGTCTTTACCCCGATCTCATTGCGCTCAACAAGCTTTCACCACGCCCGCATCACGCTTGCACTGCGTTCTGCGTCATTATTGCGACCAATCAGATCGTGTTGCGTTCGAACGACGCTTGCACTGTGCCTTAGCAACGCTCACCGCGCCTCAACTGCGCGCCAATCACGCGCGCGACTGCGCTGGCAACGATCATAAAAATACCGCCGGCCTCGTCTATACATCATCATCATTCTGCCGTGCTGTCAAATTAACATCAGATAATTATTAAGATCAACATTATCAACTAAATCAAGATTATTACATCAACAAGATATTTTCTACGGACACAACTATGCCGGCCAAAAGACAAGGGAGAGGCCGTGGAAGGGGAAAGGCCGAGCAAAGACCCAAAGAGTCTATCCCACAAACTTGTAGTCGGCATCCACAAAGCCATAAGCACCACGGAAAAGAAGCCTTATAGGTAATGACAATGAGCCAGAGTTCCGTGGCCATCTGATGGCCACATGTTTTCCGTCGATGCACCGCAGGCATGGGGCACATTCCATTTTTTCCGGAAATCTTCGGCAATGGCATGCCATCTTCTGGCATCGTAGGACACGAAATGGCCTCCTCTTTGTGTTCTTCTACAATAGCCTGGCACACCTCTGGAACCAACAGCGATATGGTGTGCGGGCCACCTGAAGTCTACACGAAGTAAGGATATTTATCACCCGATGCAAGATGCCTTATGGTGATTGCCAGTATCAGTCCTGGTTCAGTGCTTTTTCGTATCGGGTGTCCTGCTTCTGGATTTCGCCAATTCTGACAAGCAGTTCATCGAACATCTCCGGAGGCCATCCTCAGGAAGTTGAAGAAAGATGCTTGATCTTTCATGCGGAGCTCAGGCATGAGGCGATCATAGTGACCATAGAGGTCGTCTTCCTACCGAAAGCGCGGACGCACACGCCAGAAGATTCTTTGTTGTCTTCTATTTCTCCTCCTCGTCCTCCTCAGCCTGATGAGGGCTTGGCAATCAAGTAGTTCGAGTTCTTCTACGAGAACATGGCATGGAGTAGTGTTGCCTTATCCATAGGGACACTGAACTGGTGGCTGGCCAGGGTAGCACCCTAAATTAAAACGTATGAAAACGTATTGACATCGTGCTGAGAACAGGGCGACAATTTCACGCACACCGACACGCTTGCGATACGACCATTAAGTTCGTACTATGCTCGAGTTACGTGGGTACTACGCCTTCCACGTCTCTAATACGCCCGCACGGCGTCGTATTTCCGCCACGCGCGCACCACGATTATTTTGAACATGTTCAAAGTTTGGCCACGCTCTCCACGCTCATGCTGACTGCACCGCGCACGGATCACGATCGCAGTACGTCCATATACGTCCACACTGCGTTCTACACGTTTCACCACGCTCTTAGAGCGTAGTACGCGCGCTAGTGAGATCGGCGGCCCTGGTGTGACTGGGGTATTAGAAATTAAGTTTCATTGTGCCCATGATGGGTTTAAAAATTAAAACTATTTTACATTTAAACTATAGTTAGAATGGGGTCAGGTCAAGTTAGCTCCCAGTTCCCAGTTCCTTATTCGAATAAGGAACTAGTAACTAGGCAAAGCAGTTACCAGTTCCCAGTTCGAAATGCAACATTGAATTTGGAACTGGTAACTAGGCAAAATAGTTACTAGATACTTATTCGGCTAAATTAACCCTTTGGCACACATTTATTTAATCAGTTACCAGTTCGATACCCAGCTACTTATTCAGTTACCAGTTCGAAACCTAGTTACTTATTCGCCTATATGCCATTAAATGATCTTATTTGGCTCTTTACAATTACCTAAAGGTTATTCAGAATTGGCGTTTACGACTTTGCAACTTGGCATGATCGCGAAAATCATTTCTGTTTGATGCTCCAAGACCCGTTTATTGATTTTCCGGATCAGGCATGACCTGTTGCACAGTCGTAATGTAGGCCGAAATTACCGATAGCCTCAGAATAGCAAAGAATGTTTGATGTCTCAGCCATAAAGTGTGGTGTGCGGGTAGCTTTAGGCCTTGGGACCTTGTAAAGGGCCAAATAAGATCATTTAAAGGCCTATAGCGAATAAGTAACTAGGTTTCGAACTGGTAACTGAATAAGTAGCTGGGTGGCGAACTGGTAACTGGGCGACAAAGGGTTAATTTGGGCTCTGAATGACTTTTATAGGACCTTGTAACGGGCCAAATAAGATCATTTAACGGCATAGGCGAATATGTAACTAGGTTTCGAACTGGTAACTGAATAAGTAGCTGGGTGGCAAACTGGTAACTGGGCGACAAAGGGTTAATTTTGGCTTTGAATGACTTTTAGGACCTTGTAAAGGGCCAAATAAGAAGCTCAGTGAAGTTAGCTCCCAGTTCCCAGGCAAAGCATTTACCAGTTCCCACTTCCCAGTTCCTTATTCGAATAAGGAACTGGGAACTGGTAACTGCTTTGCCTAATTACTAGTTCCTTATTCGAATAAGGAACTGGGAACTGGGAGCTATATAACTTCCCTGAGCTGTTAGGGGTACCTTGCTTCTATGGTTGAATCCAGCAGTTTTTCTTTTTAATAAACGCTGCGCTGGTAAAATATCTGAACTACTTCACCTGCAGAGGAATGATGTGTATGAATTTTATCGAGTAAATTGACACTCCAGCCGATTGTAGCTTTTCACATGTGTTTTGCATAGCAACCGTTAGCTCTAGTATCTATAGCCCGCATACAGTTGACGCTGGCGCTGCCTGAGGCGATCCCTGCCGCGCCTCCTTCCAGTTGCTGTGTATGCAAATTTACCGCTTGGCTACGCCACACGACGGTAAATAACGTGAAAACCATGTCGTGCAAAAGTACGATTTATGTCAAAACGAAGGTAGCTACGCGGTTTGTAATACTACCGGAAGATAGAATAAGGACCAGTGAACAAAAACAAGCTCATGTTTGTATACATTTGTATTTTTATTCACATCGAACTTGTACGACAAAAATGTAGTGAAATCAGTACTAAATACGAGTCAAACTCCTTTGTCATTATTAACTCCTGATATATATATATATACATTCAGTTTTCAACCGGATGGAATATTAAACGTCATGATTAGACATAAAGTAACCACTTATATCACCCTTATACAATTTTAACTTTTGTACAGCTTACAAATACCTAGCCTAGTAAAGTCTAAATAACTGGGAAAATTAGAGACAATTTTTTTTTACATCAAATGAAAAACCATTCAGGTGTACACCAAAGATAATGAAAGGTGTTAGCAATGAATGCCTAGTTTTCCCCTGTGGTAGGCTCTGTACTACAATAAACCACTTCACTTCAAGTTTAGAGAGTCAGACATCAATTATTCCAACCTTACTCCTACAAAGATTGGCACGTTGAGGTGAGAATCATGAGTTTTACATCACCGATGGGATCATTGAACAAAGGGTTCCTGGTTCCTACTATCAGGGTGATCAGGCCATTTTCCAATTTCTAACACTGAATATACTGTGTGCAAAAAACAGTGTGTCATACAGAATAGCATGTTACCTCGTGTTAGACGTGATTTCTCTTGTGCCAGTCTTGCATCCCGGATCACCTTCTGCTTAGCTTCATATTCTCGCAATGTGTTCTCCTTATTTTGCAATCGACCTGAAGCACATCAAGTTTAATATTGAATGTCCAGTTCATTAATTACTATTACACAGTCAAGCATACAGCAGATTTATTTAGATGAATGGACAACGCATGTATTATTTGTGAAATGTTATAATCATCTGTAAAATAGACTGCATAGCCAAGCACTAGTCAATTTCTAGCGCTAAAATGACGGGATAGGATAACAACATTAGATTTAACAAATGGATTAGGAAAATAAGTTAGAATAAGCCAGTTCGTAGTTACAGTCTGCGCATGCGCGAACTTAGCCACAAATTCTTCCGGGTCAGGTCATTTGTGACAAAATATGGCGTATTTCGACCGTACAGTACACATACGCATGCATCTGTGTCGTTGTAATGCTACAGTCTTCGCGTGTGCGTGCGTGCGTGCGTGCGCACGTACACGTTCGTGCATGCGTGTGAACGTACACGTGCGTGCGTGCGTGCGTGCGTGTGAGCGTGCGTGCGTGCATGTGCACGTACACGTGCGGGCGTGCGTGCGTGTGCATGTACACATGCGTGCGTGCGTTCGTGTGCACGTACACGTGCATGCGTGCGCGTGCGTACATGTGCGGGCGTGCGTGCGCACGCACGTACACGTGCACGCGTGTGCACGTACTCGTGCGTGCGCGCGTGCACGTGCGTGCATGCGTGCGTGCGTGCACATACACGTGTGCGCGTGTGCGTGCGTGTACACGTACACAGAATATATACATGTACATATATACGTACTGAACCGAGAGCGCACGTCGCACTCGAGATTCCATCGATTTTTGTGACAAATGACCCGGTGACCTGTGACGCCACACAACCCCTTGGCTAACTACAAACTGGCTTATTGATTTGCTCACAAACTATATATATATATATATATATATATATATATATA